CTTCGGTTTCTGAGAATACGAGTTTCGGTAGAATTTGGAGGTATCTATCAAGTATACCCTGTGTGATATGATTCAGCATTTGTGCGTCAGAAGATATCAGCCATTTTGCTCACCTGAGTACCCATATCTGTCGCCGTACTCGAGAATATGGCACCTATGCTCGCAGTCGCAAGAGCTATAGTCACAGCCGTATACGAATTCGTAATGATTGCTGGGGGGAAGCCCACAATGTTGGTCAAGATTGAGGAGACTGTAGTCCAGCAGAACGAAGCTTACCAGCGACCCTATCACCCACACTCACACCGTTTGCGCGCATTGCGGAAGCCATTTCTTGAACACTCTGCCTTAGTTGTTTGAACGAATAGTGAACCACTTTCCCTGACTCTCCACATGCCGTACACGCGATTTTATCGTCATTCCGCCAGAGGAGGTTCTCAGCGTAGTTCAAGCGTGCTCCCGGGAACCAGATCGGAATTTCGGGTATATGTCCTTGTGCCAGGATCTATCCAAACGTCTTAATATCCACACGACGCGACAAGTGAGGCCATACAGACTGTTTGAGGAGGTTGAGACGAGATGATACAGAAGAACTTCCACAGATCCAGCCAGAAGTCATAGTCTTCAATAGAATACTTGTGCAAATCTTGGTAGTCCTCTGTAACCGGAAAAGTGTGAATATGTACACATGTATGGATACTATGACGAACTCACTGAGTTTCTTTCCTCTCGTCCTGTTTATCATGTCTTTGAGATGTTCTACATTCGATTTTCGAGGGTTCGTGGGTGCCCATAGAAGCCGCGAGTGCTCAAAGTAGTTGCTCATCGTTGTGGGAGCTAGAGTCGAACGAAAATCGGAAGACCGCAGCGGGGACCCGACCCTGGCCCCCTGCTCACGAGACCGCTTCCCGTGGAAATCTTTCCAGGGTGAATTTTCGTGGCACCGCCGGGAAAAACCGAGTGGATGGTGGTCGTTGGTGGTTGGGCTTGGTTGGCACACACAATGGCGGGGAAAGTTGGCAATCAAGCTGGTCAAGTCGCGTCCCTGGGCCTGGGGTCGTTCAGGGTCGTTCGCGAGACTAGACGCCCGAATCTTCAGTTTGGGCGCTTATGATGCTCAAAACGCTTGCTCTCGGACTGCCATCACCCTTTTCGCTCAATTCGTTCTTCCTTCCGCGATAACGCGTATCAATCAATCATTATCAATGCTACCGAAATAAAGAACAACTAGAATGTTGAGGAGGAGGTAGCCGTTTGCAGATTCTCAAGCACACTCTTCGTACACTATATGGTCAACTCTCCAACTTTTCATTCTGTGAATGCTCTGCCAGCCATTCTTTCTGCCCGCTCACCCCATTTGTATCTGAGGGTCCCTTTCTGCCAAGGACCCAAAACCTGTGCATGATATTTGCCTACGAGTCTTGCGTTCAGGAATCTGGAACTTCTGCCATCTGGAGCACATACTCAATTGAACAAACGGAGGACCGGGTGAGCCATCACATCTATCATCTACATATCTTTCTGTCTCCTAAGTACTGCTGCTATCATCTATGGAACATCGTACCTGACCGTTCGTGCGCCTCTCTAGCACCATTGGTGGCATGGTATCTCACAGGTGGAGCAAACCCAGTTGAGCTCAAGTTCTCCGCCTTTTCTCCCGAACACTCGCACAAAATGCATCACTACGGATATTTGTCGGTGAGTTTGACTACGCTTTTTTACCTATAAGACCGGGGCGTCCGATCCTTTCTGACTCTGTTTCTAAGATAATCAATCGAATGAAAGAAACTGCAGCGACATGTCGGGCTATGTATCTGTGTACATAGAAATCCTGAAGGCCTCAGGTTGGGCGATCAAGGAAAGCTTGCCTATTCCGGGAACCGGGTACCGGCAACCACAAGATGGTGGGCACGCCGCTTTGATGGGCCCTTTCCATCCGAACCCGAATGTCCAGTTTTTTCCCTCGCGGCGACAGTAGTCCAGCAATGTCACTGGCAGTCACCATGTTGCGTCACCGTCACCGCCCCGAATTGCCCAGATGATTGGGTCCTTATATTAGAACGTGGAGGGAGACGAATACTTCTCGATCTTTCCCCTCATCCTCCTCACAGAGAACCGACCTGTTCTCGTCTTCTCGATGTGGCCAAAGCTCGAACAGCTCTCCGCGGTGGCACTCGTGCTAGCCTGTGCCGACTTTTCATCTGCACGAATTCCTCTTTCACGCCGATTCGCAGTTGACGGCCCTCTTGCGGACTCTTACGACTATGTCATTGTGGGCGGGGGTCAGTCCGGTTTAGCGCTTGCAGCACGTCTCACGGAGGATTCGTCGACGACCGTGTTGGTAATTGAGGCTGGAGACAATGGGGATGGTGCCAAGCAACGAATTGGTGCGCTCTCATCCGACCGGAAAGAAAGGACCAGGGAACTGATGCCGTAGATCTCGAACAGACACTCCTTCCGCAACGTATCTCAACTCCATCACAGGAACACAATGGGATTGGCAGTATACGACACTCCCTGAGGCTTCCACCAATAACCGTACCATATGGTGGCCACGAGGAAAAGTTCTCGGAGGAACGTCTGCCATGAACGCCATGTACATGGTTCGACCCTCCAAGATCGAGGTTGACGCGTGGGCGGACTTGACTGGGGACGCGAGCAGGTGGAACTGGGACTCGTTATACGCAGGCATGAAAAAGTCAGAATCGTTCACACCGCCCGACAATAACTTGAGGGCCATCGCAAAACCTCAGTGGAACGAGAGCAGCCACGGAACAAATGGACCCATCCACACCAGTTACCCGCCTTTGTGAGTCGACTCGTCATTTTTCGAACCATTGAGAATGTACACGTCTGACCCTGCCCCAGCGCTTTTACTCAGAGTGGCCAGTTCCTGGATGCTATGAATAACATTGGTATCTGGAACAACCCTGATGCCATGTCGGGCAAGAACTGGGGGGCTTGGACAACGGGTACCTTCATCAACCCCTCAAACTGGACGCGTTCCTACTCCCGAACTGGCTATATCGACCCTTTGGGACAGCGCGCGAATCTCAATATCATCACCAACTCCACAGCAACCCGTATCCTCTTTGCATCGGAAAGCGATTCAACCGCTACCGGTGTTGAATATGCTCGCACGAAAGACGCTGCCAAACAGTCCATCAAAGCAACACGGGAAGTTATTATCTCGTCAGGCGCTATTGGTACGCCCCATTTGTTGCTTGTCAGCGGGATCGGACCCAAGTCGGTGTTGGACGGCGCTGGTGTCAAGGTACAAGTTGACCTCCCTGGCGTGGGACAGCATCTCCAGGACCATCTGGTACGTCGTCATAATTACCTTTGCCGAGTAATCTCAAACAAGATACTGACGTTGATTATAACCACCAGACCAATTCTGTTACCTGGAACACTACATCAGACACTGCTACAGCACTGTATTCAGGTGGATTGGTAGGGATTACTTCCCGATGTCGTAGTCAAGGCTTTGACGCTGATTCAATTGATACAGCGAACACCGGAATTTTTGGCCAACGTCAACTCTGGTGTTGCCTACCTCAACGCTTCCTACCTCTTCGGCAATGCTCAGAACTTCCAGAAACAGGTCCAGGACCAATACTCTTCGTCCTTATCGAAGGCACTTCTGTCTCAAGACTCGACTATCATCGAGGGTTACAAAGCGAGATACGATGTCATCTCGAAGACAATCATCCCTAGTCAAGTCGGGTTGGTAGAGCTCTTGCTCAACATGATGGGAAACAAGACGATCTCTGTTGGCGTCGCACTTCAACACCCACTGAGGTACTTCGCGTCTTATCTGATCTTTATCACTCCACTAAAACTGCATCAAGTCAAGGACGTCTTTACATCAACTCTTCGTCTATCTTCGACCACCCGTTGATACAGGCGAACTACTTGGCTCACCCGGCAGGTATGTCATTAGTTTTGTGTGCTTCCTTGGGTACCCAAGGTTCCTCTTCCAGACGTCGTGATGCTACGAGAGGGATTGAAAGTTGCCCGAAGACTTGGTGGCGTCGCACCTTTCAACAGCACACTTCTGAACGAGCTGTCTCCTGGCGCAAACGTCAACTCTGACGAGGAGTGGGATAAGTGGATTGCAGAAAGCACCTGGACGCAGTTCCATCCCGGATGCACCGTTTCCATGCTTCCTCAGAAACAGGGAGGTGTCGTCGATAGTTCTTTGAAGGTCTACGGAACGAGTAAGTCTCAACAATTGTGAAACGCCCGTGGATATTATCTGATCGCGTAATCCCCACTTTGCAGAGAACGTCCGTGTCGTCGATGGCTCAGTGTTCCCCTTCCTGTTCTCTGCTCACGTATGTATTCATTTTGCTACTCTTGAAATATCCTTCTCACCACCCTTCTCATTCTGTTTCTGTTCAGCTTGGTGCTCCGACATACGGTATCGCTGAGATTGGTGCCACAGTCGTCGCAAACTCTTCATCCTCCCTCCCAAAAGGCTCATGGTCGTGGTTAGGTCTGTTCACATTCATCGTTACCTTCCTACTCCTATGAGTACAATGGGTGCTGATGGTTCTCTTCTCATGTACCCTGCGCCTTCCTCACTGCATCGTGCCTGCACCATCGACCTTGTATGTACTGACTCCGGACTATCTTTATCTTTCAAACATATATCAGACCTTTTTCACGGACTCATTAAACCGGGTGGTCAATGAAGCAACCCACGGATAGAAACCCGACAATACTTAGACGAAACTATTTTTATGCTCGGACACTGATATGATTTGATGGAAGGAAGGAATGTTGTTGTTCTGTAACGATGGGATTGGTCGCCCTCGTGTATGTAGCAAGCATGTATTTGGTATGTAGTGCGAAATACTTAGTGCAATCCACGTTTTCAACTGTAACGAAGATCACGAGAAGTAAGTACACGCGTTGGGAATGCACACAGCTTTTGAAGATTGTCTCAGCGCTTTTTTCTTGAGGACAATGAAGTTTCCTGAGGAGGAGGAGAAAAAGATTGGACGTTCAGGGGATTGAACCCTGGACCTTATACACACTAATCCCAGGGGATTTTGCAAAGCATACGCGCTACCACTGCGCTAAACGCCCGTATCTTCTGTTGCATTGTAGCATACTACATTCGCATATTCTCATCAGCTTGTGGTTATCAATTTCCCAGCGTCAACGATTGGACGGCGTGCAATTGACTGTCGACCAGGACGTCGAGCTATGGGTGAGGAATCCGTATGTATGCGATGAGACGCTGAACCCACCTCCCGATCTTGTCTTGTGCCTTCATGGCACACCGACTTCGACCACAGCATTCACATCTCGTACCACACCTCCTGAGTGAAAGTTACGGCCAGGAGAACGATAGCCGCGGTAATGCTCAGTGATACAATAATCAAATGACATGTGAGAACACCAGTCTCCCAAAATCTCCCCAACCAGTAGTGGAACTTATTGGAAGGTAAGTCATCAAACTCAGAGTCTCGACTGATCTTAATTAACGACCATCGTATCTGAACGGAATTCGAGTTTGTCTGTAGCATTCATTCCCATTTCTCTCGGACCATCCTTGAGGGAAGTGAGCTCCTTGGCCGTAAAAACATGCTTGTAAGTGAGTTAGCTGAGAACGCCTTCCAAAGATTAGATATAATACCAACACGAATTGGCCTTCTCCGTCAATTTGACGTAGGCCAAGCGAGTAGCTGACGATGAGGCCTTGGTGGACTACACGCTATGGCTAGTAATAGATTTTCGAGAATGCTGCCCATGCGGTTGTTGAAATCAGATCATCATGTGATAGCGTCACATCCGTCGTCCCTGTCGTTCAAGACGCGAATCGGAGACTCGTACATACATGCATATAATTGGGGCACGATTTGCTGAATTTCCTTCTGATGTCGTTCGAGTTTCAGAATTGTAGCGTGTGTCATGCCTTTTGGTAGTTAATGGCTGCCGAGTTCGAATGAAGGACACATGAGATTCTTGAAGAACGACGTCAACACGATTGTTAGCAATGAACATGTTGAGGACAGCTTGTAGACTTATCTTGATTTGTGAGGAAGATGTAGCGATAGAGCGTACTGGGTTTTGCATAATAGCGTGACACTGCGGGCAAAGTGGGCTCTTGTCACCATGAACCGAGGTAAACTCTGTTTACGCTCGGTTTCCACCAAGTTTACTGCAAGTTGTCCACGCCTTCGCCTCATGCAGGACAAAGTCACGTGAAGTAGTACATGCAGCCAATCTGTGGCAAACTTGGCGGAAACCGAGCGTAAACAGAGTTGAACTCGGTTCACAGCGACACGATCCCGCATTGCCTGCAGTGTGAACATGCGAAAAAATTATTTCGCCTTACGTGACCCGGTCCGACACCTCCAGCCGCTGTGGCAACACGGAGATTTGACCTCCGTCGGGATATCCCGCAGTGGCTTCGTCAGGCTTGCCTGGAGTCAGTATTGTGGATGGAAGTCAAAAGCTCGCTCGAAGCTCAATCTTGCAGGCCTTTCAAACCAACGGCAGACCATACTGCCCCACCGGCAGCACGAGCGCTCCGAGGAGCCCGACGTGAAATAAAAAAATTGCGTGTTCACGCTATTATGCAAAACCCAATAACGCGTTACCTCTCGCTCGTGCCGAGAAGGAGAACGGTGATCGAGAAAATGGACCAATATGGAGGGCGCTTGCACGGGCGCTCGGTCTTACCCGCTTCGGGATCGCCAAGCATGGCACGCGTGACGCAACTCCTCCAATCCCCACACCCAACCACCATGTTTCCAAATTGACAAATTCTCAAGGATCAATCACATATAAAAAGCTCACCCATCTGACTTGTATGAGGTGAGTTTCATCTGCCTTCTGACATGATGAAGCTCAAGGTCTTCACAGTCCTCTCGCTCTCCATCTCTACCTTGGCTCAGTTGCCTAAGAATGGTGGCCTTACGGACGAGAGACCGACCTATCCTTCACCAGAAGAGGCCCAGTACAAGCTTGTCGAACCCAAATTGAAAACACCATGGACGGAAGCTGTCTCCTCGGACCCAGAGAACGTGTGGGCAGAATACCCTCGACCTTTACTCAGGCGAAATACTTGGGCAAACTTGAACGGTGTCTGGGAGTTCGAGAAGGCCAGTAATAGAGACGACGTGAATGATGTACCCACGGGAAGGACCTTGAACCAAAGAATTTTGGTACCGTTCTGTGCAGAGTTCGTGGACGTCAATATTGTCGCCCTCATTCAAATTCACTAACATTCTGTTTGTAGGAGCGGCCTTTCTGGAATTGCTGAGCAGTCCAAGTGGAGTTGGTGAGCTTTCAAGTCAACCAAGTCAACCAGTCGAATATCTCCTCAACGACCTCGATCTCGTAGGTACCGCCGTACGTTTGATGCACCCGAGACATTCACCGAGAACACCATCCTCCATTTCGCCGCCGTCGATTATCACGCCACGGTGTTTGTGAACGGGCAGCAAGTCGGGACACATCAAGGGGGATACGACAAGTTCTTCTTCGACGTTACCGAACATCTTACATCAGACAAGAAGGGAAACGAGTTGATTGTGTTCGTTTACGATCCTACTGATGGCGAAGGCGAGAACATCCCCATGGGAAAGCAAAGACTTGTTCCCTCGCACATTTTCTACACAGTACGTTCCTATTTCTTCTTTTCAAACGCTAGCGAGCTTATTCTTCCTCTTGCGCAGCCTTGTTCAGGAATTTGGCAAACTGTTTCTCTCGAGTCAGTCCCAAGTTCAGAACACATCACCTCAATCCAGCTTCGCGCAGGCGCCGATGGTGCTGTTAACACTACGATCACAACCTCCACCAACTCTTCCACGTCGCCAGTTGCCCTATCGTTCCTCGATCCCGCCGACAACTCGAAAGTTCTTTTCACGCACAATGGCACCCTCGGGGAACCTATCACCTTCAGCGCTGATATCCCAGAGTTGAAGACATGGTCACCCGACAGCCCCAACCTTTACAACATCTCTGTCACAGTCGGAAGTGACACGGCTTTCACATATACCGGTTTCCGCACTGTCGAACGAAAAGAGGTCAACGGCATCCAACGGTTCGTTCTCAACAGCAAGCCTGTCTTCCAGTTCGGTCCGTTAGATCAAGGCTACTGGCCTGACGGTCTGCATTCGGTCAGTGTCTTCCCTGATGACTCGTGGAATTGTTCATCAAGCCTTTTGTCAGCCTCCCTCCTATGATGCCATGGTATTTGACCTGAAGTATCTCAAGGAAGTCGGCTTCAACTTTTTGTAAGTCATTTCTCGTACTCTTTGATGGTCCTTACTCATGCAGCGCGCGCTATTTAGGCGAAAGCACATCAAAATTGAACCCGACCTATTCTACTACGCGTCTGACGTCCTCGGACTGCTTGTCATGCAGGACATGCCGGCTCTGAATAGTCAGGGCAGTGTCGCAGTGAGCGATGCTCAACAAGCCGAATTTGAGCGTCAGCTTGATATCATGGTCGAATCGCACCTTAGTTTCCCGAGTATAGGTTCATTCGTGATATACAATGGTAAGTTCGCCTCTTTCCACTCGTCCCTATTCTGACTCATTGCTCGCGTCTATAGAGGGCTGGGGTCAACGTGATGAAGGACCCGAGATCTACTTGTCGCCTCGCATCCACGACATCGTCGCTGGGCATCAACTCGTCAATGCGGTCTCTGGATGGAACGACGTTCATCAGCGGAGGGAGAATGTCGCTGTGGGAGACTTCCACGATAACCACCATTATAGCACCCCGCAGTGTGGATCGCCGTTCAGTAGTTTAGCCTCGACGCCCTACGACTCCAGGAGGGTAGGGTTCCAGGGAGAGTTTGGCGGTGTCGGTGTGAACACGACTATGTAAGTGGTTCATATGTTGGCAGGGACGATGGTGGTGATCTGATATTGGGAACGCAGTGATCATTTGTGGAATGATTTTGAGGCGATTAGGGATATCCCCCAGACGTATGAGATTGATACTAATACTGGTGTATGGAACTACCGTGCATTGAGGGTACGTCATTCTCTCTATTCGGGCGTTGTTCTGTTCTCAACGTCTACCTCCCTTAGGTCATCGAAGAACTCACGGAGCAAACTCGCCTCTTCGGACACTGCAACGGTGGCGTATACACCCAGACGACCGATGTTGAGGGAGAAGTCAATGGGTTCTTGACCTACGATCGTGCCGTTGACCACCTCGATAGAGAGAAATGGCAGAAGGCAATTCAAGACTTGTACGCTGCCTTTGAGGAGAGCGTTGAGACAGGTGGGAGCTGGGATGCTAGTCAATGGGGTGGAGGGCAAGAGGTCCCGTTGTAGTGTACAACGTATCTTCGCTTTACCACTGAAAAAAGCCCTACGTTTTATGCGGCATTCAGCCATGTCTGATCATCTCAAAAGAGATAGAAGTAAGTTTCCCTCCCCGAGACCCTTTCACTGACTGGGACGAACTAGATCGTCAAGCTAGAGTATTTGGGAAAAGGGCTAAGCATAATGTTGACGTGCAGGTGGGGTGTAATGCGAACCCGATGTCTCAAATTTTCAAATTCCTGTACTTATTTAAGCCAACGGGCCATAACATCTCCTATCCTCTTTGCACTTCACCTCCACTATGGCTAATGTCACCCCTGCTCAGGTTCGAGCACTGAACCCATACATTCAGATGCAAGACGACAGACAGCCCTCGACCCCCAAGCCCAAATTCTCTGTCCTCGCCCGCTTCGTATTTGGCATGATGGCGGTCATTCCCATGGCTATCCTAACGGCCATAACAGCGCCGCCTCCTGGGCTGTTTTCTTTTCCACCCAAGCTTGATGGCCGAAATCTCGTGCTCCAAATACTTGTACACGGCAGTCTCGTCTTGTTCGCAATACCTCAAAAATCGGATCCTCAATGGTTCAAACGTCCCAACTTCGGGAATGCGACGGCAGCGACTTTGGGGATCTTTGGAAACGGATGCGTCCAAGTGTGTATGTGATCCTTCGAGCTTCGCGGTTTCGTCGCTGCATATCAAAGGTTTATTGAACTATCTTCCGCTCCATATCTAGTACTGTGGATGAACTCCATCAATAGTTATGGCACTGGTCAAACGCTCAACAACACCA